ACCGCAGATTTGGTTGAGGTCGCCGCCGCAGTCGAAGTTGCAGTTGCGATCGTCCACCTTCAGCGTGGGGATGTTGGGGCCACCCCAACACTCAGTGTGATACTGAGTACCGCAGAAGACGGACCCCTTCTCAGCACAAGCAGCGATACACTTGCCGTTGGTGCTCGTAGCGTCGCCGTACAACTGGTTTGCAAGCTGGCGGCCGGGGTTGTTTTCCTTGTAGCAGCCGATGTAGCGGTACTTGCCCTGGCCATTGCCGAGCAAAGGAGGTGCTTGTTCGGCAACAGCAGTACACTCGAAAGTGAAGAAATGCTTCTCAAAGTTGGGGTCGTTGGTGTTCATGGTCCAGGGCGCCGTGCCACTGTACGGGTCGGTGTTCCATTGTGCCTTGGGAACAGTGCACACCAGGGTTGCCGTGGCACTCTCGCCAGGGGCCAGAACAGTTCCTTCGGCAAGATCAACAAGGTTGGCGGCTTGGATGATGCCGGCAACACCAAAAGGCGGCTTGGAAACGGTGAGGGAAAGCTTGACACCACCCTCAGCAGCAGCGTTGGTGACACGGAACTTCAAAGACCGGGACGTGTTCTCGGTGACGTTGCCAAAAGTGAAGTTCTTGGTCGCGTCATACTCTACCCATCCGGTGCCATCGGGCGTCTGGAACTCGACGAGCGCCACAGGCGCAGGGCCTGCAGAGCCAGCAATGGTGAACGCCTTGGTTCCGCCATTGGAAACAACCTGAAGATACGCGCCGAAGGTGCCGCTGACAGAAGAGTCGAAAGCGATGCGAACGGTAACAGCAGTATTGGCAGGAATTGTGGCCGGAACGTTGGTGAGGGTGAACTTTCCGACGGTAAGGGTAGCAGTGGCTCTGTCCCAGCTGGTGAAGGGACCCTGTGCGCTGCTGGTGGAGAATTGGACGTCTGTGATGGAGAGGGCCGAGTTACCCTGGTTGGACAAGATGACACTCTCATCGGTTCCACCCGCTTGACCGGCGATGACGCCCTGGAAAGTGATGGTCGGGGGAGTGATGGACAGCAAAGGACCTGAGCTCTCGCCAGTACCAGTGAGTCTGATATGGGTACCTTGGCTGTAACCCTCGGCCGTGTTGGTTGTGTTGACGACGATGTCGGAAGACACCAGACCAACGGTAGTAGGCTTGAAGGACGCGCCGATTGTGAATGTTTGACCGGCAGTCAGAGTGAGAGGCAGGGTGGGAAGTCCGGAGAGGGTAAAGTCTTCAGCCTCATCTAGGCCGATGTCCGAAACGGTGACACCAATGACGGCCGTGCAAGTAATCGTGCGTGGGTCGCTCGTGGTTCCAACATCAACGACACCAAATTCGTTGGTAGCAGTGCAGTTGATAGGTGTCGTGACTGGCGAGCCAAAGGCGTACAGGTAGCCTAGGGTGGTACCTTGGTACATGATGCCATCACCAAAAACGGCTCTCGTGAACTTGGTGCTGCCCGGAACACTGAAAGACTTGATCATGTTCAAGTAGCCATTCTTGGGGACGGCTTCGAAGATCTTGAGCTGAGAGCCCTGTACATCCAAAGTCCAGAGAAGACCAGTGCCAGCTTGGCCGTTGAGAGTAGTGACAGTGCCGTGACTGACACCAAGGATGTAGGCGTTGTTCTGAGGGCTATCGGCCACCTTGGTGAAAGAGGGGACTCCGGCCTCACAGGAGAACTTGAAAACGTGGGTAGGGTATTGAATGACTGTTCTTGTTAGTGGCTCTGTTCGAATACGCGGATGCCATGAGAGGCAGAAGGGGGCTTTTGCTTACCATTGATGTAGATGTAGCCACCCTCGCCTGGGTACACACCGGCACCGGCGTACACCGAGTTCTCGTTCTGGTACACCTGGATCACGTTATCAAGGCCATTGGCGCCATTGCGGTAGCCACCCAAGTCGTCCAAGTTGAGCCAGTACGTCTTGCCACTCTTTCCAGTCACCACACCAATGCGCTTGACGTCGCCACAGGAGAACGTGCTGGGCAGAATTTGCAGAGGACTCGTTCCCAAGTCCTTGTCGGCGCCGTCTAGAGCTTGCTTCTCCCATGGCATAAAGAAATCGACCAAGCTCAAACTTCCATCGGCGTTGATTGTCATGTGAACAGCGGCTTCTTCCAGAGATGTCGGGGGCGTGCGGCCGTTGACGGGAATGGTGCTGAGCTGGGAGGCGTATCCGTTACCAGTAGCGTAGAACAAGGAACCTGCGTCGTCGGAAGCGAGACCGCCGCCAGACATCCAGACACCACCGCCCTTGACATCCACGGGGACACCGTCACCTTCGGTAGCGAAACGCTCGACGTTGGCACCGCTAGTCTTGTCGAAGCCCATGATCCAACCTGTGAAGTTGTATTGGACACAGTGAGAAGCAAAGCCAGCATAGATGTAGTTGCCGACGTGCAATAGAGCAGGTCGCTGATGATGGATACCGCCATTGAAAGAGCGGATAGGGTTGTTTCTCGCTACGGTGCCTTCGAGGTTGACGGGGAAGTTGGGTTTCTCGCTAAGGTCGTTGACATCCAGGGCATGGAGATAGTAACGACCGGCGGGTTTTCCTTGAGCAACGCCGGTCAAGGTCTGGTCGACGTACGTCTTGGTGGTGAGGTAGAGGGTGTTGGTCGAGGCATCAATCACACCAGTGGAGGTGACTCCGACGTGAGGTTCGATATCATAGCAGCCATCCAGATCGGCAGACAAGAAGGGAATGGCGAGACTGCGGGAAGCGATGATGCTGCCCGTCTTTGCATTAATTTTGTAGACATTATTTTGTGTAGTCGCGACGTAGACGTATTGCGTGCTGTCGCCGTCAGGCGTGTAAACGAGTGGTTGAGAAAAAATCTGCTCTGCGACGCCGCCATATTTACCGGGCAGAGGTGTGCGGAAGAGCTGGCCGAACTGGGAGCTCCCCACGACGGAAGGGTCCATGTTGTGGTTTCTTCATGATGGGATGTTGCGTTAGATCTGTTTTCTTGGTTTTCATGACTGGCCTCGCTCTTCCCCCACCGAGCGGATCGCCAGAGGAGACGATCGACGCCGGGCAGAGAATGTGTATAGAGAGATATGGGGATGGAGGGAATGGATCTTGAACTTACGTCTGGTACCCGGCTCTCGAATTGTCGCCTCCCCAGGTGATGGTGTCTGTTGAGGCCAGGCCATTGGCAAGGCCAATGAGGGCCGTCATCACCCACGTCTTGAAAGCCATGATGAGTGGCTTGTAACCTTCACTGGCGAGATGGCCGGTCGAAGTTGCGGCGGTTTGGCTCTAAACGAAGGAAGCACAAACTGGCGTGAGGGGATGGGAAAAAGCAGAACACCATCGGCCTGGAGGGAAAGACGGGAGGGCGGCTCTCGATATTATCTCTAAATTGGATCTTTGGCTCTCGAGCGCGTTCGGCTCCAAAAGCTGCTGAAGTACTGCGCCCACGGGCAACGAGAAGCGTGGGACCCATGCAGGGCCGACCCATGGATGATTGGCGTGGCATCAGCAAGCCCACCCATGATGCATCGCATCCCGGCCCGTTCTCGAAAGCTAGCGGACAGGCCTAAAGTCCTAAACCACCCCGGACGGTCAGTCGATGGGGACGGCAGCACGGATCTGACCAGTGAGCCGGCGTCTTGTCACCAGGCCGCAGGAGCTGGGCAAGCTAGATAGGTCTGGGATGCAATATGCGGCAAGGTATGCGCAGGCGAGGCCGGGGATGGAGGGGATGTGCCAGTCGTGGACCTGTTCGAGGCTGGCCTCGAGCAATATTATCATTGGCTTGGCCCTGTGCCAATGCCTTTGCCATTGGAAGTCGCCGTGCTGCTCTTGAGTATTTTGATAGGTGTCTGGAGAGAATGACAGAGCACAAAGTCTCGATCTGTGATCCGAGCTGCCGGCTTGTCACTCGCGAGAGGCGACGAAAGGTGAGCAGGCCCCTGACGACCGCACTGAGAGCCTATACTACACAGTAAGAGCCTAAAAGGTACCTAAAAGTAGGTATTGACACCGCCTCGTCTGCCCTTGGATACTGGAAGGGAGCCCGAAGAAAGTCCAGCCTCAGCACTAGAAGGCGACACGAAGGCCATGCTTGCTGCGATGCAACGACAACGACAACGGGTGTCGGCTTCGCTGGCGTTGGCTGGCGCCGCGCGCGATGCCGCGGTGCAATGCTGCAGTGACATGGTGGTATCTTTTATTGGGGATCGGCGGAAGTATGCAGGCTGCCAACGCCACGCCGTCCGGTGTTTTGGGGCACACTATTCCCAGCCAGGCCAAGGGTTGGAGCTCGAGAAGGTTCGGATGATTTTTGCTCGTTTCTCTGGCTGCCTTTGTCTGCCTGTCCCTGGTGAGCCTGGCTTGAAGCAGCGGCTTGGAAGGGCGGACAGACATGGAAGACTCGGCAGTGGCCCGAGCGATACACGATGTGAGGCTTGGAGGCGTCCGACGGCGCCCGGCGAGACGGACGGGAAGGAAACGGCTGCTCAATACGGTTACTTGTGGATAGATGACGCGAAGTCCAACTGGCCATCAACGCAGGGCATGATGGATAGATGGATGGACGGATCTGAAGGGGTGTGATGATAAGGTAGTCAATGATGGGACGAAATTCAAGGATCGAGGGATTGACGGATTGCGACTCGCCAGCTGGTGCAGCTCCGAGGCGTGAAAAGACACCGGCGATGAGAGATGGGCATTGCGAACCTGCATTCGTTCGTATTCGTCGTTGGATCTTCAGAATGTAATAACACAGGAACAGTGCTAGGGACTGGGAAGAGCCCAAGTAGACGGGAGTGTTGGTGCCGGGATGATTCAGGTTGTGTGTGTGGGCGAAGAAATGCAGCGTTTTTGACGACTTTCCTGAAAGAGAAAGAGGCAGCAGGTACGTACCCACCCAAGATACGGTTAAAATGAGGCACCGTGGACCGTCTCCACTTCTCACAGTACGTATCTCAGTACGTCCCTGTTCTTTGCCCCACATCACCACCTGCGCGCTGCGAGAGTGGCTCGGTCTAATCGCCGATGACCCGACAGACTCCACCAGCCCCCGCCAGGATGTTTTTTTGCTGGAGTCGGCCCTCAATCGCCCTCCTTCTCTTTGTGCTCCTCTCTGAATCCCTCCTCACTTCCTTGTGGCTGACCTCCTCGTCCCTGTCGTCCATCATCAGCCTGACAGTCTCCGAATCTCCATAATCCACAATCATCGCGCAAAAGTGGTTCGTGTTATGGTCCGAGATGTCCTTGTCTTTTGGCCTACCTTGCTCATGTTCATCTCTAGATACCTTGTACACAGTCCGAGAGTCGACCTTGGTGTTTGCTTGTCTATGCCAGCACCCGAATGATCCTCCCTCTTCGCTGCAGGGACCCGTGAAGAAGACCCCAAGGACTGGTAGCGAAACAGGGCCTCGTCGAACAAAGCAAGAAAAACAAAAACCCAACAAAACAGACAAGCAGATAACAATATCCCATCGAGCCTGAATCACCAACGGTTTGCCAAGCACACCAGCCAGACACACCTACGTAGTATACGGATACACAGTACGCATACGGCAGACATCTTCCCAAGAGTCAATACATGATGCCATGCCACCGGCTGCGCGTCTTACAGCATAAAGCAGGCTGCTGCTGCTGCTGCTGCTGCTGCACGACTGGCATTGCAGCCAATCCCCAAAAGCCAAGGCCTCAACGCTGGAAATAGCACTCTCCAAGTAACCTGACCTGCAGCTGCCCCTAATCTCCCTCAAGCCTAGCGCCACACGCACGCGAGTCTGGCAGAGACAGGTCCATTTTGCAAAGACAATCTCGACATGCAATGCCAACGCCTTTGTTCCTGGCAAAAGTCTTCCCGGTGACTCTTGTCGGTTTATGGTGTCAGTTATTCTTGCTGTGGAGTGAGTGAGACTTCGGCGCCATCAAACTAACGACACATCAAGAGCCCAAGGCCCCGTTCGTTTCAGGCGACAGAGAGACACCAAACAATGCACTAACAGAATAGTACAGGTACCCACGACGCCAACGAAGGAATCCAGGAACAGATCGGACCTGAAGATGCCGCTACTCGCTAGCAAGACGCCACTTATGCAAACTCAAGCCCCTTTGCCTTTTGCCGTTTCTTTCTCGCTGCCCTCTCTAGCTCTTTGAGAAGCGGCGTTGGCAAACAATCAGACCGTCGCCCACGATAAGCATACAGCATACTCCGTACGGATGGATCGAAGGCATAAAGGTACTTCGCTAGCGCTTCTCGTATTCCACCCATCGCCGAGACGTCACCTGTCCTTAGCTGTTCGGCGTTCCTGGCTGCCGTATTCTTGCTTTTGTTCGCTCTATCTGCTGTTAGTTCCCACTGCCAGTATCTCTTAGAGCGTCAATTTCTCACCAATTCCCCATTGCCGGTCTCAGTTTGCGTATTCGTTGAACCCCCTAATTTGCGGTGTTTCCTCATCCTGTTCCTATTCTTTCTTCTGTGGCAGAGAGTCGCTATTGTCTTGACTCCTGTCTCATTGGTCCCCTATCATCCGCAATGTCTAAGGGTGTTCTTTTTTTGTCTTTCCCCCTTTGACTTTCCTCCGGCCGGACATGTTCCGCCCGGACAATATCCAGCGTCGCCAAGAGCTTGTCAAGCCTGACTTGCAACAGACCATTGATTCCATGCCTGGGGTTTGCAGCCTGTCACCCAAAGAGACCTCACCTAGCGACCAATCTCGGTCAGCAACACAGTCGAAATCTGGTGTTCAAAGTTTGCCCGGTTTTTCACGACTTGCTAATTACAATGGGTGCTCCCACTACAGGATGATGATCTTTCTCTCATCAGGCCACACAATCTCACGAACGTCATCTCCCTAATGCACTGCCTTTTCTCGACCGACGCAGCCTCAGCTCCCCTACATCGCCTCAGCCGAAGTTACCCAGCACCACCCCGGCTCTCCGTCCTTCCCAAAATCGACAAGCACCAACAAACATCGGCACACCCGCACCACGGGCCGGACGGCACGGCGCCCGGCAGAGAAGAAGCGAAAAGCCACCCAGCACCACCCTACCAGCACTTCTACGAAGCGCTTCATGGACAAGAGGCTAAGAGCCCAATCGAACGCCTCATCGCAACCCTCACCGCGTGGCGTTAGAACACTGACCAGTGACCCTATCAGGCCTTGCTTCTTATTGACTCGCAACGTGGTGTCGCTCAGACGCTGAGGTTTACGGAGGTGCTTGTCTGCCCTAGCGTTTCTGACTTTCTTCTTGTCGTCTTTTTCGTCACCTATTTTAGGTGCTTTCATCCCAAAGGGACGGATCGACCGGCAATCTCTAGCTAGGCTAGCTGAACAGCTGACACTTTGGGATGGGACCAGACCAATGCCAGAGACAAGCGACGACAGCTTCACACGCGTCCTTTCCGTCCCTGCTGTTGTGGCTGTCTTGCACGTTTGCCCGTGCACCTGTCTGTCTCCCTGATGCCACGAGCTCTAGATCACAACCCGAGGTGGATTGAGATTTCCTGAATGGGCCAGTGCCGATTCAATCAGCCGACTTTTGCCGCAAGACGGGCGGCGTGGGTTGCAGAGTGCAGCACTGCAGACTGCTGCAGATTGCAGGCACCTTCACTGTCTGACCATGCGGTCAGCACGACCCTTGGAGGGTTGGAGCCTGCTTATCACAGCGTCTCACTGCCAAGTGCCTGGACCAAGTTGGAAGTGGCGAGTGAGCAGTAGATAGGCACTTCAGGTCCGGCCGTCTGATTGTTGGACGTCTTTCTGACCGCCTTCGATCTGAATTTTTGATAGAAGGGGTATATCTCGCGGTCCATATGACTTCAAGACCTGCCAGAACTCATGGCCGGATCGTGCGTCCAACTTCTACCCTTGCATCCCTTACGATTGACTGGCGGGTGAATCTGAATCATCACGATTCACCCGGTGGGCGATCCGTTGGAAGAAATTGTTGAGTGAAGTATAGCGCGTCGCCTCTCGATGCTGCTGCAATGCCCACGTATCGTAGTGCTCCTCCCCCACCTCTTCCAGCAGCGACAGGAATCGGTCTTCCAAATCCCCAAAGTTCACGTTCAGATGTCCAGCCTCGGTGGCGGAAGAGAGCCCGCCACGGTAAAAGAATAGAGGTGCAAGCCGATCCAAACGCATTGCTGACCCTCGAAGCGGCCTATCCGGATGAGGGTCGCACTCCAGAGGCTCATCCTCCCGCGTCGGCCTGCTGAGATCCAGGGCTCCGAACCGCGTCAGTACGCGCTGCTCATCGACCAGGTTCGGGATGTTCTCGCCGCGGTTGAAAGGCGTGAGGAGCAACTCTGGGACGCCGAGGCGCTTCCACTGCCCTCCGAAGGGGAAGGCGTCCCAGTACATGGGTAGAATACGCTGCCTGACCATCATGTAGTTCTTTTCCCAGTCTATGAACTTGATGTTGAGGGTTCCTATGGCCTTGAGGGAGCCGAGGAGGCGCGCCACGTCGTTGGCCTTTGCCCAGTGGCAGAGGAACGGCGCGTTCCACTGGCGCCAGAACTTTTCGGTGTCGAGGATGGGTTCACCTTGGCATCCTCGATTCTGGGGTATGTTAGTCGATATGATGTGACATGTTGAATCATGCATGGATTCGGGACCATGAAGTTAGGCGGAAACGGAAATCAAGTGAGAGTTTCGTGAACTCGAAAACATACTAGTGAACTTCGGATCTGGGTAGAAAGATAACGTACATTCTTGTCAATCATCATGAAGCGAAACCCGCTCGTCTTTCTAGGAACATGGTGTGGTGAATACCACGGCGCATCAGCCGGAAACCACGGCCCCCGAAACTCCACAAACACATTCTCAATCTTGTCCGCGTCTCGCAGCTCGTCGAACACGGGGTTATCCATATGATTAACATGAATATACCGCGGCGCCGGGAAATCCGCGCTCTTCACGCTATGCGACGCAGCGATGGTGATCCACTGGTCCTTGCGACATGTCGCCGTGATGCGGATGGTGAGGCAGGGTATCTCGCCCGCCTTGCTGCGGGGAAACAAGTGCGGCGCGAGTTCGCGGGCTGTTTGCTTGCAGGTGTTGATGAGGCCTAGGACGGGCTGCTCGTCGCAGTTGAATTCAAAGTCGACGGGGAGGGGCGCGGCGACGAGGGCCCAGATTGTGTTGCGGAGCTCTGGGGGGAGCTGGAGGAGGGGCGAGTTCTGGGTGGTGGAGCCCATGTTTTGCGCCTGGTGTCAACTTTGTTATCAAAGATTTGGCTTAATTTGCTTTCCTCTCTGACATGGAGATATTACAAGATGCAAATGAATTATCGTCGTTTCACTCGTGAGTAAGCACTCAGCTTCGGACGGGAGCAGGTTTGGAAGGTCACGTGGCGGGCGGTCGCCTACTGCCAGATCACGTGGGGGCCCTGCTGCCTAGAGAGACGTCTCACAAGCAACTTCAAGAGGCACAGCATTGCACTAACTTCAAAGAACATCTGAAGACCTCTGTTTGTACAGACTGTTCCAACTTTGATTCGGACTTGTCTCGAACTTTTAGAGAAACCGTAGAAGTCAGACCGGGTCGTGATGGACACCTGACGTGTAGTTGCCAGTTGACTTGGACATCTCCCAAACGGCTTCTTTAACCTTGATAGTTGAAAACTGTCCTCAGTCTACCAAGGTGGACAAAAAGCTAGAGTTTAAAGTTTCTGATTTATTGTTATGGACGCGAAGATGGGGGTACTTTGGGTTTCTCATATACCTCTCAAGGACGGGGCATTACTTGCTTGATATCCTAAGCGCTCTCTGACCTCAACAACAATAATCTTCGGATCACCCCGATGTCGAAAACATATTCTCGCACTTTTTGACCTACGAATAATTCATTTTCTTCGATAACAAGATGCTCAGACATCGCAAACATGGCCGAGACTTCTTTACTGGACAAATTACCTGGAGAAATCCGCAACAAGATATGGAAACTGATCTGCACCCCGCCACCATGCCCGCCAAACCGAGAGAGGTCCGGGCCGACAACAGGCATCCTCAGCTGCAGCAAACGCCTCTCGCAAGAATTCTCCTCATTCCTCTTCCACCAAAACTCAAATGGCGAAATCCCGGATCTCACCATCGTCATCACGACTACGTGTCGAAGAGACGCCTGGCTATCGTTGGCAGTCGAGCCCGAGTGCACAGTGCCCGAAAATTGTATTCACTTCTACGAGCGTATCGACAAAGCGCGATGCTTCGACGTAAACGACATGGACAACCCAGTCTTTGACGTTCTCCGCGAAGCACAACAGATCAACATGGTTCACGTCCGCTTCGACGGCCCCTGGTTCGTCAACGAGGCGCCACTGTATTCGCTGCCGGGGACGCGCAGAGCTCGATTTGGAGAGGATCCGATTTACGATGTAGAAGCCTTCTGGCGGCAGTGGGATGTTCCGTTTCTTTGTCACTGGGCTAAAGCACGGGACGTTGCTCGGCTACTCGGGTCGTTTCAGAGGATCGGAAAGATGGCGATACATTTCAACGATTGGCGTCGGGATGGTCGAAGGGACGGCAAAAAGTATTGGCATGCAATACCATTCTACACCTCTATCAAGGACTCGGAGCTGAGGACTCCGATCAGGCTGTGGCGGCTGCTGATAGATTGCTTCTTGCAAGGGGATGGAGACGGAATGAATATGCTGAATCTGGGTTTCATTGAATGCGAGACCCGATTCGGCATCATTAAGTTTCCCACTAAAAATCAGCCTGAGGGAGAGCTGACCACGGCGATGGCTTGGCTGATCGACTCGAGGGGCTTGGGCCGATCAAGAAACCACAAACTCTTGAAGAAGCCCCCAAGCACCGTGTAAACCGTCTCTTCGCCGCGTTTACATCGCTTTTGGAACAACAGAGTGACGACATATACGATATTTGGGCCCTTCGAGAGCACCGAGCGGCGACATCGAATTCGTCGGCCAGGAACTTTTTCCATCGAATGCAACGTCAAGAAGGTACCCGATAGTTTAAGTTCAAGTAGGATAATGACAAGATCACAAGACTCTGTGAAGAATCGCGGTCTACGACCGGTGTGAAGAGCATGAACGATACCGTGCGTGTATTTGGATATCCCCGTTTCCGCGTGCACGATAGACAGTCCGCCTGCCTCGTTCAGGCATGCTATTCATGTCGCCAATCCTCATGCAGCGGTCACATCTACGTTTTCGGACTTCTACCCAGCGGACGAATACGCGATAACCAATCCGACTTTCCTCATTGACGGGCACCCATGTTAGCTCCGCAGTACAAAGCGGACCGCAGCCCGGAATGCAACGTTGTTAAACCCGCTGTCATCCTTAGCTCGCTTACGTTCCACAACATCGCCTGGCTTGCATCAAGTCGTCTCCTCGTGATGCGGGGGGCATCGAGGGCTTGTAAAAACATCGTGGGAGAGGCAAATCGTAGCAGAGTTTAGAGAATTGCAACATTTCTGGGCTTCCATCTCACTTTTTCGTGAAGATGAGTTTCATCCCCGAGGCTATCACGCCGACGTCCGTCCTGTCGTGGCAGTGTGCAGCTACGCTCCTCGTCATATGGATCACCTATTGTCTGGGGCGCGCCATCTACAATGTCTCGCCTCTACACCCCCTTAGCAGGTTTCCTGGCCCCAAGTTAGCTGCTGCATCGTATGCCCCCGAATGCTGGTACGATTTCGTGATGAAGGGGCGGTACACCTATGAGATTGTCAAGATGCACCAAATTTACGGTATGTGATTCTTATTGTCGTAAGACTTAACCTCCCTTAGATACATCAGCTAATGGGGAATAATCTAGGACCCATTGTCCGTATCAACCCTGACGAGGTGCACTGCGACGACGTTCGCTTCACCGACGAAGTATACGCTATCAACGGGAGAAAACGAGACAAGCATATCCACCACATGATCAACCTACCAGACCCGTATAACTCTCACCAGCACTTCTCATACCTTTAGCTTGCTTGCCTCTGACTCCCATCACAGCGCAACCTTCGCCACATTTGGCACGATCGACCACGATCTCCACCGCAGACGGCGAGCCGCCGTCGGCAAGTTCTTCTCCCGGCAGCAGATGCTCAAGCTCGAGCCGCAAGTCCACGCATCAGCGCAAAAGCTCTGCGACAAGCTTCTCTCATTTGCTGGTCCCGATGGCGAGGTCGTGCCTTTGCAAGACGCCTATAGCTGCTTTACGACGGACGTGATTACCGAGTACTGCTTTGGCGAGTCGTTTGGATTTCTTGAGCAGAAGGAGTGGACGCCTAATTATCGTTCGGCTGTTTATGGGGCACTAGTTCATACGTTCCTATTCAAGTTCTTTCCGTGGACGAAGATCGTTATGAATGCTGGGCCGTAGTAAGTGCAGTTGCATACCTACTGGAGCGAGAGTCATCAATAACAGCTGACTTATCTAGTCTCAAGAATTATCTACCTAGGGACACGGCCATCTTTATCAATACCTACGCAGTAAGTTCACTCGGGTTCCTTGGTCAAAATGTATGCAAGACCTCCGAGAACGGCGATTGATAAATAAGCACCACAGACCGTCATCCCAGCCCTCGTAGAGAAGGCGAGAGACCGTAAAGTGACAGGCACGCACAGATACCAACACTCGCCCAATGTCTTCGCCGCATTATTCGACTCCGATCTCCCGCCCGAAGAAAAGACGGTTCCACGACTCACGTCCGAGGGTGCCATCATGATAACCGCGGGAACGGAAACAACAAGCTACACACTGACGATGATCAGCTTCCACCTCCTATCGAACCCGAAAATCTTGGCAAAGCTGACGCGAGAACTTCAAGGGGCGGTCAAGGATCCGAAACACCTGCCAAACTGGCCGACGTTGGAAACACTGCCATATCTGAATGCTGTCATCTCTGAAGGGCTGCGGCTGGCGCCCGGTGGATCGATGCGTACTGGCAGAGTCGCTACCGAAGAAGATCTCGTCTATCGCGGGAAATGGAGGCCTCAAGGAGCGGAAGTTGATGTGGATGTGTGCCATGTCATTCCACGCGGATGGGCGGTAAGTATGAGCGCCATCATCTCACATCTCGATGAGAGGATGTTTCCGAACGCCAAGGATTTTATACCGGAGCGGTGGATCGATGAAAATGGTCAGAGGAGGAGGGAATTGGAAGCTGGGTTCATCCCCTTTTCCAAGGGAACGCGACAGTGTGTGGGAATGCCGTAAGTTTTTGACTACCCCTTGCGAATTCCTTGTTCACCTGTACTGACCTTCTGCGTAGACTCGCATACTCTGAGTTATATATCGCTTTGACTTCGTTGGTGCTGAGGGTCTTTCCGCGTATGAAGCTGTACGATACTACTTTGCGCGATGTTGAGTATGACCATGACTTGGGCGTGCCGATTCCCGCGACCGAGAACGGTGTGAAGGTCAAGATCATTTAGTCTGTTTGAATAATTGAGGATGAACTATCAAGTAAATATATTTGTTGAGCATGTAAGGTGAATCGCTCATGGACTTCCATTCCCACGGGCCAGTTGAGTACAACCGCATCACCAAAATGTCGATTGAACTTGGAAGCTCACAGTCTTTGTGATTCACTACCTAAATATAGCCAAATCCCATCCTCAACATTCACTCAATCCATCTCCCTGCATTTATAAAAACAAAGAACTGCGACCTTGGCTTAATTCTCACAACATTCTCCGCTCCACCGTCTCTTTAACCGACTGTTCAAACTGAAATTTCCCAGTCTATCTAACTTTCTTCATCATGAAGCTTAACGTTTGTGTTGTCGTGGGGTTGACTGCCATCTGTCAAGCCGAACAGCTCTCAGTAATCCCCATCAATGAGACGACATGTCACTCTCTTCCGAAGGCTTCTTCGATTGAAGTCATGCCTATAAATGTGACTACAGCTCACTCAACCCTCAAGCCTTCGTCAATTGGAGTCATTCCCATCGACGTGGTGACAGGCCACTCCCTCCTCAAACCCTCGCCAACCCAAGCCCCATCCAACTGCACATGCACGCATGAGGACACGAACAAACCAGTCACCCATAACCGCCCGGCTGAAGTCCCGTACTGGGGCTTTAAGCAAAGCTGCACTGAAATCCACGGCGACGGAGGCGAAGCAGCAGTTATTTGGGCCTGCTGCGACACGACCTACGGCTACGGCATCCAGAATCGGTTTCGTCTAGGCCAGTGTATCGAGAACGCGCGCGGGAAGCTAATCCCGCGCAAGAATGGGGGGTTCTGGCGCACGTGTGAGGATTGTGGGCTCAAGGATCCAGAGAAGCCGACCGTGTATAGCTGCAAGTGCTGGCCTATGCCTAGGCATGGGGCGAAGCATGAGCGTGTGGAGGCTGAGATCGAGTTGGTAAGTCACGGGGAAAAAGGTTTTAAGAGTGATGATATGATTTTGCTGCTAAAGATATGTGTAGAACGACTTTATCGGTAACGACCATGGCAAGTTGGTTTGCTTCGGCGTCAGGGAGCAGCGCTACTGGGGAAATTGCACCAATAACTTTCCTTGGGATAACTAGACTTCAAGATAGCAGATAAATACACTGAGTCTACTCATTAAGATTCATAAGCGTGAAAAACCTTTGCGATAATTTTCCAACCCCCATCAACCTTGATCAACGTGTGAAAGTCTGTGTAGGCCGGTCCATCGGGGGTGTTTTCCATGTCCACCTTGACGACGGCGGTCGTGGGCGTAATACCAATGACGTCGCAACGGGTCTTGAGGGACGCGCTTGTGCCGTATGTGTCGAAGAATGCCTGAAGGTTGGTGTACGAGCCTAACGAGAGCGTGCCGTCGGCCGGGATCCAGCCGGTCATTGTTGCGTCCTTGTGGAATGCAAGGTCGAGCAGGGCGCGATCTGCTTTTGCGACGCTGTCGACATAGAGTTGGACTGTCTTGATGACTTCGTCATATTCTGACGTTGAGATTGTCTTGATGTTTTTGGACATTGTTGAAGGCTGGTGTTTTGGATGTTTGAGGTTCGAGGACTTGGTCATCACACGGGGTGTAGTTAATTATTCAAGCCTTGGTGTTTGGGTCTGACTTCTGTACACCACTTGGCGTTTCTTTTAAATACCGGACGTAAAGACTGTATCTTCTTTCAGACTAGGTTTGCGCAACCAGCCGGAGGTGCTTTCAAATCAAGCTCCGTGGAATTCCACATAAGGGAATGTTCTTTTCATGCCAAGGAAAGCACCTTGATGGTACCACAACGAACCCCTCCGAGGCCGTGGAGCAGCTGCCGATTGTTTGGTGTTCATCCGCGGAAACCTGCCAAAACCGGAAAAGGACAAGAACCACCTCCACGATGTGCTAGAATACTTCAAACGAGTGTCGGTACTTTCTAAGCTCAAGTTACAGCCAAAGGGATATTTCACTCGCTCGAGAGAATATATCTTGTGTAACTCCAGAGAGTTGCGAGATAGTGATTAATGGAAAAGGTTAAGAGATCAATAGGTATTTCGACAATTAGGCGTGTTTACGGAAGCCCACAAAGCCTTGGCGCCATGTCATGATTTGTACAAGTACCTCTCTCGCATCCCTCAGTTGAATACCACACGGGCGGTCATACAACATACGAGGATCATATGGCTTGGCAAGTTAATCCTTCTTCAAGAGAATCCATCAATGGCCACAGGTACCGTCAGAACGTCCAGACACATGGGCTAAGGTCATGTTGGATTAGGATTAAGACTTCTAGACCAGACTGGAAGGATCAAGACTTACGTCTGCATTCGGCGTTGAGACAGCAATCACTACTTCCAACAGTACAATCGCCTGTTATAAAGTAATTAGTCGGCCAGGATGGGTCGAGGCCATCGTCATCCGTGATGGCGCGAAGGAAACCTACCGCCAGCTGGCGTGCAAGCTAATAGAGGGAATCGAATTAGCAAGGGTTCAAAACTTTAAAGATAGTGAATGAATCCTAGGTAGTTGCCAACTTACCCAGAGAAGATGCGACGAGAGCGCTCATAACCGTGAAGATGGAGAAAATTTTGACCTGCATGGTGTCCTAGGTTTCGTATTGAGCTTCTTGTCGAAGGCGGGTTGTAGGGCAAGTTGAGGTCAATAGCAAAGGCTCTTTACAAATATTTGTGATCCCGCATACTACTAGAAGCTTTACTTGGCAAACTAACCGCCCTACTTATAGATGTGAGAAGTGCCATTTCTTCCGCATCCACATGTTCGGAAAGAGCGGACTTGAACATGCTCGTTAGAAGGCATTATGTTGACTCGAGTCATTGGTTCGTGATTTGACTTTCAAACGGGGTGGATAGCTTCATGATTCAGTGGACAAAGGTACTAGGGAGTCACAGAGGAAAGCGCAAGCATCATCGCGTATGGGCCATAATCCCTGGGGTCTATTGGCGAATAACTGACCTCGGTCTCGCATAATTACTAGTGCGGACACAATGGCCTCGTCAGAATGGTATGTAGAGTTTCAACCGCGTAATACGGGAAACTTTAATAGATGGAATTAGGCATTTGGACTAATGGCACTTAGGGAGTACAATCTCACTGTGAAGCCCTAGGTACGGAGACTTAGTTGAGGATTTTGTCTGCAAATACAATCCCGATCGGGAACTATTTCCCGCCCGATTTAACATCTCGTTACGTTTATGTGACCACAACACCACTGGCGCCTATATATGCTTTGGCGAGAAATGAGAACGTCGCCTCTGGTGTCTCGGTAAGGTCTCTCAAACTTCGCCATAAAAACCATGCGCTCCTGAGGACGGTCCTGAGCCATCCGAGATGGTCTTGCATATATTGTAAAGGAGCATCAACAATCAAAACTTTACAGCTTCAGATTCAAACTTGAGAAGATGCCGTAGTCCAAATTATAGTCATCATACTCACATCTTGCTGTTGTATTCAAAGTGTACATATAGTAAAATTCGCCGACGGCCTGGCATAAGATAGGTGAGTAAACACGCTGCATACTAGCTTGAATAAACACACTCCGCACTTTTATTTCTGAAGAGGGTTGGAAGCTAGCGTACGGACCAGTGGGTTGCAATTAAGACAACACGTCCAGACTACTCAATGTTACTTGACGAGCGATGCAGCTACTTGACGAGCGATGCAGCCATTGTTTGGGGGAGATCCAAAATATGGAATCGCAAGTTTGCCCACCCGTCTCCTGGAATTATTAACTTTTTGAGTAGTCCAGCTTCAGAACGATATCGACAAACACGTCTATAGGGGAGTACTTTGTGCAAAACATGTAGACGGAGGTGGGAACATATCAAGTGAAATCTGGCACCGAGGTGAGAAAGGATTTATAAAGAGAAAACCATCATCTAGATACCACCAATACCTGATGTAGGGAAAAAGAACAACAAAATATTGCACGACCTAGGGCGTGATGAAACAATTGGAGATGGAGGCGCGCCACGAGTTCATACATGATCTGGTTAATGGCGGCGAGGATTTCATGACGCGAGCCAAAGAGGTGTACAGTTCAGTCATCTGACATACATATGTTGTGGATATTAAAGTTCTCGGCGTTTAAGAATCAAGAACCAAGAACTCCAAAATTTCCGTCGTTAGTATACACCCGCATCTCCGATACTCAATCTTTCCGCACTTAAGCACCTTACCTTTCACGAGCGATCACGTTTTCCAATACCATTTCTTATTTTACTCATTACAACCCTAGCCTCGGCGTCTCAAAATCCTTCCATCCTATTTTGTGACCTCGACAGGAACTACAACCAAAATACCCGAAAAGTTCAACGAGATGGACCGCCAGTGTCCCCAGAGCAATGCACTGCATAGAAGTTCTCTGGAGAGACTCCCGCCCGAATTACTTATGGAAATTTGCAAAAGCCTAGACAACGTATGTTCTACAGATTCGCGTCACTTCGGGAAACCCCTCAAAAGTCTTGCGTCACTCTGTCGAGCATCGAAGCTTTTGCACGCTATTGGAACAGCTGTGCTCTATCAGCGATTTCAATTTCGGATCAGCAGAGATGAACCCAGCTTGAGAAGACTGATACAATTTATATTGACGATCCGGCGGAATTCTCTCCTGGCTGGGCATGTGAGAGACTTGACTCTTGAGATACATAATGCAGACTATCTGAGCTACCGCCGAACGACTGTCCACGAATCATCAAGAAACCTAGACTTGGAACTTGTATTGTTGGCACCCACGCTTCGAATGCTCCGGTATTCCACCTCGACCTTGCAGTTCGCCATTATTCTAGCGCAGTACCTTATCATACGGCTGACACAACTGAGAAGACTATCAATGAGGTCTCATTGTCCTAGCTCAACGCACATAGTAGGTAATTGGGCCTATCTTAGAACAAATGGACGACCAGGGAGCTTGCCACTTTTACGAATCGTGGCAATCCAAGCAATGGAAGCACCCGCAGCATCCCAAAAATGGAGCTCTAGTATTTTACAAGCTCTTTGTCAAATCGCGCCAAACATCACCTATTTGGATACTGAGCTGGTTATACCGTTGCCAACATCTATCGACATGGCAAACGCAACCTTTCACCTGCGCAACGTTGAATATCTCAATCTAAACGGGACAGAGATAGGATCTGAGATGCTGTCTTCATTGGTCAATTCCTGTGGACCACTGAAAGGTTTCAAGTATCGACCAGCCACCTGGAACATGTATGGATGGCGTCCTCGGACGCGAGAAACTGCCGATATCACCGCTGGGTCGATACTAGATGCACTCAGACCTCACGCAAATACGTTAGAGTCTTTGGACCTAAACATTATGGAAAAGGTCTTCCGTTCAGGCCGTCGGGAGCAGCTGGAATCCATGCGACATTTCGAAAGTCTCACATACTTGGGACTGGATAGCTTCTGCTACGACGGGCGACAGTCCCTAGGCAACATTCTCCCAGGCAGACTGGAGACTATAGAAATCACATGCATGCATGAAACGATGCATGAAGATGTCTTGGAGCTGGCGCGTTTAGCTAATTGGCTTCCCAACCTCCACACGGTTAATTTATATCCTTGGCCCAATAGCACGAGCTGCCCTACGAGTATTCTCAAAATCTCGACCATTGCTGAGCAATTTCGACAAAGAAACGTCGTATTCTCATTCTCTCACGGAACCTACCTCAATCGTGCATCCAAATGGGGGTGTGCCTGGTTTCTAAACCGCTTGGCCCCGTGGTGCCCTCCCCACGGACAGCTTGAGACAACAGCTTAGCTAGAAAACGATTATCTGTTTGGGAAGCACTGATGGAGAATAGCCCCGCTTCATAACTGCCGAGCCGAATCAATATGATGATTTATCTACAATGGACTAATCATTTTGTCCTCATCATCCATGGTATAGACTATACACAATTATTGAGGCAACATTGGTCCTAAATGGTATTGGTAGTTGGGTAATCGGGATGAAATAGTTGAGCTGATAATTGATAGAAACTACGGCCCAATACAACTTGTTCATAGTAATTGAGATTTAATTGCAACAAGATCTTCATGTGAAATCACAAATAGGGGCTGATGAAATCAGCAGAGAAGTGTATGTTGAGCTCCAAACGACCAGAATCGCAAATCCAACCCTTTCCGATCACCTACTTCATGAAAACTTTCAATCACGGAAATACCACCAAAGGGCCTCGAACCCTCTTTTCAGAGGTGACCATTGACACACAACTTGCAGTTGTTTGACTAGAGAGTTTGTAAGCCTTCTGACTGAACCGAGAACGATCGAGATAACTAACAGCTGACAAAATGGTGGCTACAACAGCGGCTGAGCATTTGGAATCTTCCTTCACATCTGTTTTCAGATTCCAGATTAGCAATTGGCAAGAAGGATTGTTTCTCGCTGTTGTTATTGTTTCACCCTGAGTACCTGGTTAAGGTGCTGTCGGAGGCGTGAATCCGAGTAAAAGAGGGGCGACATCACGATGGAAATGCTTACCGAGTCCGCGAGCAGCGATCGCCCACATGCAGGTGACACCACCCGGGGTAACAGATCCAAGGCAGCCTTAGCAGATGTCAGTAAAGGACAGGAAATGTAAGACGAGGGACTCTCTTACTAAAAAAGCGACGCCAGCCACAGTGCATGAACGGCACGTTGCTCCTCTTGTCGAGATCTCTGTTCTCAAGGTCCAAATCGGTGTCTAGCAGAGTTGTCAGCTTTGTACTCTTCAAAGGATCTCTTCCATCACCAAAACTTCATTCCAATTTGAAATGACGATACCTTTGAAGTAAGCCTCGAGGGCAGTTTTCCAATCATCAGGGAGGTCCTTCGGGATCTCAATGTTCTCAGCAGCTCTCAGGGCCAAAGCACCTTCCGCAGAAGGCAACTCAGCTGGGATGGCCAGAGCCAGGGGTGCCAAAACAAGGCAGGTGATGAAGGAGCTGAAATGCATTTTGGAAAGTTGACTTGAAGAAGATTCAAATACTTTGGTGATGAGATTGTGGGAAAGGTTGTTGTCGATGTCGAAAAGTATTCACGAGGAAACGAGGCTGCTGTTGCTATTTATATGGAATCTTTGATATATCACGATACTTGCAAGCTCAAGACAACTGATATGTAGTCTGTTTTACCACTATTGGGAATGTATGGCTGGTTGCCATCATGTCGCTGCTCCATGGGCCCTGACGTCTGCACTGAACTGATTCATCACGAGATGCTTCCTTGCCACGCGCATTACAGTCCGCTCCTTATTGGTCAATAACGCTCGTTCGTTCTATTGAGCTCGTTGTGGAACTTTCAAGAGAGTTTATCGGAAAATAAAAAGCTTCTCACATTTAATTTCATTCCAGAATTGGGTAAATCAGTGTGTAGCTGGCCAGTTGACATGTCGGCGAGTCAAGATGCAGCCGAACATCCGAGCCGCAACTGACTCCTTGACGATCCATGCGCGAACTCAAAAAAGTCAAAGACGGATGAACTATGGCCTGGGCTTCGTACTGGCCACTCAGAATCTCTCAATAACTCCACGAGGACTTGCTGTCATCAAACTTTGTCATATTTATCGGCTGCTCGAGATTCAGCCATATGAGTAGAGAAGAATTAGCCATAGTCTTCACGATAACTGAGTTTGGGATCGTTGTGAAGCAACGCAACAACGTGGACACTGGCGAGGATCTCATAGGATGTTGGGCAATCAAAGAGAATACGTTTTTGGATTTGAACTCGGAGTAGACAATTGTGTTCGTGGAGTTGCGCTTACGATTTGTCAAGCAATGATCATGAGTGTCATGAACAGATTGCATACAACATTGCATGAGACCTGCGTATATAACGCCCAGAAAGCTCCCAACGAAAACAAAAATATTGTCCATAACAGCAGAAAACTACCACCGCACACTCCCAACTCCAAGCTTTACTCAAGATTTCTCTTAACCCCCCTACCTTACACAACAAAGTCACAATGGCACACTTCAGCCGCCCCGTTCTTCTCATCCTCACCACTCTCTTCCTCTTCTACGGCTTCAGCACCGCTTTCCCATCTCTCGCGGGGGCTCTCGAGCCCCGTTGCTGGCGCAAAGCCTGCGATCACTGCGAGCGTGTCACTGTCACCATCGATCACCCAGGCTCCTGCAACAGCGTCAACCGCGATAATCTCAAGGCAGCCATCGACAGCACCTTCGTCAACTATGCCGGCAACTGTAGAGGCGAAGAGGCCGGCTTCAGCAACCAAGCAATTGCTGGCATTCAGGGAATCGGTTGCAGAGTTACTGTCAACTTTCCTCGTGGCAACAAGGGTGTCGACTGGGGTGGTTTGATCGGTTCCAACCTGGTTGGAACGGGAAGCTGGGCTGTCTCTGGCACCTCTACCGATGGCAGCGTGCACTGCGGCGGTTCATGCCAGTGGTAATCACAATGACATCACAATCCTTCGACTTGATCACTGCATCATTGGTTTCCGGAACGATAGGTCCAATGATTGCGCAAACAGCACTCACATGGGATGTGGCCCGGCTGTTAAACACAAATGTCAGAGCCAGTTGGACTTGACCGGATATGTTTCGCTTTTCTTCAATATGCATTTCAATGCACCAGCTTGAGTTAAATCATCATTCACTTTTAGTTTCTCAAATTAATTCTCATCATCAATTATTCTCCGTTTTTACTGTCGAGACAAGTTTGCTGCGTCATTGAAACTCCAAGTTACTAGCAGACCGAGAGTTGGAACAAGGACACCATAATGCAGTTCCACACTTCCACCCAAGTCGATCTGCTAGGAAGCTGGGCGCCTAGACAAGATCAAATGACATTATTGTGGACTATTCGGTAGCTCTATCCCCTGCTGCTTGTTGGTTTAGTCTCCGCATCCCGCGGGCTGCCCATCACTCTTGGCTGCTGACATGCCAAGCAGGAGCTGATAGCGTGTCAGCCTCGACATTCGTTGCAGAAGCGAGTGCGAATTCACAGCCACAAAGGATGCTGTTACCTGCATGTTACCTAAGGCAATTTTAAATACTGCGAAGTTCCCAAAAACACAGTTTCGTATAAGTCCACTTCTTCCTCTGGATTGACGAGTGACGCGATGATATTTCGCAACCTGAATTGTTGCTTTCACACTCTTCCAGTCTTCACTCTAAACGAATCGACCTCTCCGCAGTGAATACTACCAAGCATTTAGAGACAAGAGCCTTTCAAATGCTCCAAAATCACGGTCTTTCTTTCCCAGATGATCCTCAGCCAAGTACGAATATGCTGGCTACCATAAGCAGTGAAAGCAAAAGAGCGGCTTCCCTGACAGCCACCAGCTTAGTGCAAAGCATTTTGAAACAACGGGATAAGGTCGTCGTAAAGACTGGAGGGAATAGCAGTGGAAAACAGCATGGCCTGGTGGAAGAGATTGCCCAATCGGCGGCGGCAGGTATCGGTACCATCTCTGAAGCCTTACATCACAGAAAAGAGAAGAAGTCCAGAGCACTGAATTCAGACAAGCCCTCAAGTCAGCCAGGCAGTATCAGCAGTACGGAGTCTACACCGATACAGCTCGACGAAGGAACGGGAAAAGCGAACACCACTGACCTTGGAGCAGCAACTCACATGTCGACTTCGCCATCTTCTCAAGACACAAACAATCTTGCATCAGCTTTCCTCAAGCGACACCCGCTGAAGATTACTGGAATGCTTGAGGCCGGGCAGAGACTCTCTCTGCCGGTGCTTGTGCCCCAGAGACGGCCCGAAAAGCGAGCGCGGGGGTTCATACGAGCCTACGCACCCATGCTAGTCGACGTTGATATCAATGAAGATACTTTCCTCGACTTCATCGATACCCTCAATAAGTCATTGGAACCCAATCCTTGGATCAATGCCGTCAATTTGGCGGGCTTTGCAGGAGAAGCGCTGCCAGATCCTGCATCGCTGCTCTTTGGATTCGCCGTCGAGGCTGCCACCGAGGCTGTCATGGAGGGTCAAAGCCTGTTCTGCTCCAACAAGTTCTTGAACTGCGTCAATGCAGACTTCTTCATTCCACGAGGGTTGGTATGCCTCGTTGTTACATGGCAGCCCGACAATGACTGCGGCCAATTCGCAACCAATTTTGTGGAGGAGGTGGATGCACTACAAACCAAGCCTGATTTAAAGCAGGAAATCTTAGATATTGCTGCAGGGAAGAAGAAGCCTTCAGAGGGCTGGCAAGAGTTGAAGACACAGATGGGTGACTTGATGAAGCCCAGTCGTGGCGACTTCAGCTGGCCTGAGCCGGCGCCTCTTATCTTCCCGGACCTCAAGAGCACTCCCAAAATGGCTGACGTTGAAGCTAAAAAGAAGAACGCTTGGGACAGAATGGAAGATTGGATCAACGACTACTCAGACAAACGCGCTCAAGCTAGCTGGGTCGACGAGAACAAGAATCGCCCAATGATCGGATTGATGCCACGGCCAGAGTTCAAGTCACGATACGCTAATCCTACTCATCAAGCATCTAGTGGTGACCTTTTCTCTTTGGTTACAGGAGGTCGCTGGAAACTTGCTACAGACAGAGAAGGCGAACCTAGCAAGTGGCCAGAGAAGACCATTAACGAGGACTGTGAGCAAGAGAAGGAAGATCAGAAGAGCGGCAAGAAGGGCAAAAAGAAGAAGATGAAGGCAGACGGGAAGAAAGTAATCTTGAAAGCGGATCTAGAGAGGAAGGTAGATGGGGAAATGGGGGGGATGGCAGACCGTCAAGAGAGGAGTCAGGAAATTAGTATGATGAGAACTCCCAAAGAAGCAAAGGCCTGCACAAGCAGTATTTGAAAGACAGCGAACAACGAAGCCACAAATAACGAGGTAGCAGATGACCAGGGAAGTGGAATTGGGGACAAAGGCCAAACCTTAAAGGTGAAGACGAAAGCTAATCCATCAAGCAACTCAGGGGATGTCTTCAAAAGTCTTTTCCAAAAGGTAAGTGACCACAATTAATGGGTACACATCGAATCGAAACACTAACTTAAGTGAAAGAACGTACTCTACCTGGCCATCCTGAACTTACCCCCGCCCCCCACCTCCCTGCGCGTGCGGGGAGAAGTGGCCTAGAGACTTGGTTAGTCAGTCTTTGCAGTGACAGTACATGCATTGCATGAAATAGCAGACACTTGGGATAGGAGTGTTTGGAACATAAGACGGAGACCACGGTGGAGGTGCAAAATTTGATTTCTTTCCTAATTACCTTAGAGATCTCTGCAAACTTAGTTCTGCCTGATGGACTCAGTTTAGTTACCTGACAGTGTGTTCAATTATGGGCGGTCCACTTCATTGTTCTCGGAATGTGGCGAAAGTCAATCATCAGGTATTCTCACTCTGAAGAATTAAAGATCCCATTGAATAACACGTAGCGAAGCTTTCATGTTGAATGTCAGCTTTGATAATTAAAGGGATCGAAGTGAAATCCATAGCCCTGAAAGAAAGAGCAACACAAACTCGAGACGTGTTCGGAAGGAAGCCCCCGGTCCTACTGAGCACAGCCCACTGTCCAATATCTCCTTGCCCGCTCCTCAGCCGCAGATCAGTTCTCGATCTCAAGGATTTAGTCAAACATAGAGTTTGCAGTCGCGATGGCCTTGCCACGGGCCTCTGCGGTGAGCCCAGCCAGAACGCTCGCACGCGGTCGGAAAATGCGACTATTGAACTCTATAACTTGTAAGCTTAGCTACTCTCCAGCTCTATCCTTGCAAAAGCTTACCGCCAGTGATACCATTCTTGTCTTCTTGCACAAATAGAACCCTAGTCGAATCAGACCAAGCTACGAGCTTGATCCGGTACAACTTCCAATTGTTAGCAGAGCAAATAACCTGATCATATCGAGAAGTCAATGTTCTACCTTGAAGAAAGGCCGATCAATGTCGGGGAATCTGAGTACCCCAATATCGATCAGAGTCCGCTCATGATGCTCATTCTTGCCGAAGAATGACTCGAAGCTGTCGACAGTTGCTCCGGTTTGGGATACAATATCCGCTAAGTCACCAATCTTGATCTGGGTGCTCTCAAGCACATCACTGTCACTGATGAGGTTGACAAACCATGAATGAACCTTTCCCGCTAGTCAGTAACAGACAATACACCAAAGTGAATGCGGAAAACAACACCTCTTTGACGATGCCAGCATCGGAAGAACCATCGAACTTGAAAGCACTCGAGCTTTCTTTAATGAGTTTGTCGGATCTCGCAACCTCGTCCCTATCAGCCTCCAGGAGGGGATTCTGCATCATGGTAGATAGGACAGCGGCCCAGCTTTTGTCTTTCTGAGCAGCCAATGACTTCATAGTTCCTGCAATCATAATCTTGAGGTCATCGTCCATTTTTTCAAGGACGCTACCGGAGAGGTTGCCATAAGAGGGTGCCAGCTTAGTCTGAAGGTAGTCTGCAGACTTGGTATCGTTCACGCTCATCTGTAGCCCGTGGTTAGTCATTGCCCAAACTAAGGACATCCCGACTTGAAGCACCTTAGAGAAATCGAAGTCTTGGACAATATCGCCAATATCTGTGGCCTTGGAGAAGGCATCCTTCAAGATGGGGGAGGCAACAGCAGCCATGATGATTAGTTGAAGGTGTTAGGCGAAAAGTAAGGATGGTAAAATTGGAGACCGGGTTCGGTTGTTGTCAGAATTGTGAATTGTAATATTTTGATGTCTGGAGATAAGGCAGATCCAGTAGGTGAGAACTGGCGACCTTTATATATGTTGTTTCTAGCAGTGTCACATAAAGATTGGATGCGACAACTGACGTGTAGGTCCTAGGCGGCCCTCATTTGTTCTCGAAAAACCGCTGTTCCAGTAGCAAGCCACGTCTTCAAATGTCCTGGCCCTTCAGATTATCAGCTCATCCTGCAAACAGAGATCTGGAATTCATTTTAGACGTCAAATCCATGTGTGCCCAGGCAATGCAAGTACCTTATTATCACCTAGTACATTGACCCAACAAGCGAAGTACATTCAGAACCGCGGATGTTGTGTGCGACAACTCTTTCGTTCGACGTACCGCCTGATCCATCCTTGGTACATTTGGTTTCTGTCCTTAGACTGAGTTATTCGTATTTGGGTTCCGGGTTCGGGATTTTGCTTGCTGAGCTGGGGTATAGGCGTGCTCTACTTCCTGTGCCATGATGGACTAGTCGAAAACATCGATATCTTCTGAAAGAAATCTGGGACGAACAATAATCGGGGGATTCTGAAAACAGTCTGATCGACGAGGAGCTGAAAGTCGTCACTCAGCGGGAGCGGATTCAGGCAGAGTATCGTCAGTTGCAAGCACCTAAGTAAGGCAGGCCCGTCAACATCGTCTTCTACACTGTGTAATGCCGGCCGCTATCACTTGGTGATTTGCCATCAAAGGCCATTGATGGCTAGGGTGATGAAGCGCTGGGGACGGAATGCGTTCTCGTTCATTGTGTCACGATCTACGCCAACCAGTCCATCCCGAGATCAAACTAGAGGGCGGCTGAAAATTTGGACCCCACAGGCCGAGTCCAGACGAAGTGACGAAGTGGAGTTGACCCACGAATGGACCAGAGCGACCTTATTTCAGAGTCAACAGTTCAGGTCTCAGCCAGGTCTTCAAATTCATCTCAAGTTTTCTCAATTAGAATTGTAGACGGATGAATTGTGCATGCTACGAGTCAAGTAGAGAATTCACATCACCTACGTTAAACGTACTGTTGAAGACGAGACACAACTAGAAGTAGCACATTTGCTCAATGCTCCGGTTGAAATAACATTGCAACTACTACGAAGTACGACGCATGTTCTGTCTTAATGGAAATGATCACATTTTATCCGGGTCACTGGCCCAAAGTTTGGTTTTGAAGCCAATACAGTGGCTAGCTGAAACTGAAGCCACAGCTGAGTGGCACTAGTCGCAAAGCCTAGCAACCCACATCCTTTGGAATTGATCTACTCAAGATCATAGAAAGAGGGAGATATGTCAAGCCACCTAGAAATTCTGCAAACATTTGGTTTGGAACTAGCATGTATAGCTGCTCCGCTCGTGTGGTGCATTGACGTTTAATCACCCTCGATGCGGCGGTCTTCGAGTCCCCAAGATGCATCTGGACTAGATGAGACTCGCCGTTGATCTCGAAGTACTCTCGTTGTATATTATATTTGGAGACGAATATTACACAGCACAAAGCAAGCAGACATAAAGTTGTGAGAGATTTGCCTAAGGAAGGGACTGTATACTATGATAGAGAACTTATTCCTACTCCTGTAGCTTCTGGCTGCCTCCAGAGATGCAGTGAGAACCTACAAGCCGTAGCAGTCGAGTTTATCCAGCCAGTTGAAATTAGCCTCAAATTTATGGATCTTTATCTTACACCAGGTCGGACTATACACATCGTCCAGTCAGTGTTCAGTACACAAAAATCAACTTCGAATATCGCTTCGTAGCTTGTTGATAGTGAGACACCTGGGGTGCTGGGTAGCATATCATGGGCATGACGGAGATGATACTTGTCCTTGTTCTGGAAGCGAGTAAAGTAAACCGCCGCTTGAACCTTTTACAACGCGGTACAAGCTCTTCACTGTGGGTAGCATGGATGCACGTTAAGGTACCTTAGTTGATGAGAAGGGGCCAGGTCAATCTAACAACAAACTCAAGAGCTGGCAAGTCGCTTTTTCGGGGGAAGCCACCTCGCTTATCACGAAAAGCACTTGATACTCACCTCCCTGAGTACCATAACCCAACTGGTATTTGGTGCTTCTGCTAGATGATGAGAATCGATTCATTCAATGGGCACCCATGCCCCTCGCAGCTGTGACGCAAGAGCATCGGGTCATCGCAGGCGGCTAATGAAACGCGGCGGCTACCAAGGGCGAAAGGGCTATGCACTTTTCCTGGTCCAACCGCTTATCCCCGAGAAGAGCTCAGTTTCTTCGGACCAATTGACGAGGCTTTCAACGACCCTTGCCACTCCATTACATGCATGGCCTTAAGGTCTAGAACAACCCTCATTACCGATGAATCCTACGGCACAACGTTGCGAAGTCTTAGTTCAGATCCGGTGTCGAAGGTTCATCACATCTTCACGCATAAAGATGCGCACAGCTTCGCCTCAAAACCAGCTTAAACCCCACCGTGTCTTCGAAGATGGCCCGGAACCAACACTGACAGAGTCATCAACCGAGCCGCTTTCGAGCGAAAATTTCATGAGCGATCTATTCGAATTGCTTTGGCTGGCTTTCGATAACGGTCAAGCTGTCCAAGGTATATTGAATGGTTTGTGTGCCAACACCATTCTTCCCAAGAGGGGTTTGAAAAACAGCTCAATGGCTGACTTGCTAGAGTAGTGGAAGCTGCTGTGGCTGCCGGTGATGTCGAGTTGGTGGTCTGGGCGAGGAGTAGTGCGCTCCGGTTTCCGGACATACTTGCGAGCCTAGTTGAGGACCAGGTTCGGGAGCTGTGTCAACAACACCAAATTGCGACCGTGACTATCCCTAGTATGTATGAACTGGGCCATGCCTGCGGACTTGGATACCGTGTCGGTGTGGCAGCTGTCACCCTCCAAGAGGGGAGCGAGCTGATGGAATCGATCGAGGAGATGAAGGCAAAGATCCAGCGACTTGAATGCGTGTCTGAAGACTCTCAAATTGGAGAAGCCCATTGCGCCAAAGATCACAGACTCAAGTCTGGGGAATTTCAGCTCAACGTCCCATTCGCAGCGATAGCGTTGGAAGTATGTCCAGCGTGTCCAGCGATGACTTCGCTGATTCACCTTTCATGCGCACCGATAGCTGGGGCAGTCTGTCAAGCATGTCTGACTACGACTCGGACTATGGAAAGCCCATTCTTGAGGATGATTTAGAATAAAAGTGGTGAATTTATACTAGATTTCGCCAAGACCATCCGCATTGACGCAGACGGTGTATCGCGAGCGGCAAACTCATGGTGCTCTGGTATTTGATCGAGATCACATTCAGCCCTTATGCAAAGAGCGCACGAAATGGTTCGCTGAGTTGATGAGAAAAACCAAATACTGCAATACATCACACACCAGCTCTCCACCAAGGGTCAGAAAATAAGCAGCCAGCTACGATAGTAACGTCTGCGCCTCCGCCCCTCTAAAGTAATGGGCTAAAAAAGAAAAGAAAAAACCCACACAATTACATATCGAATAGTTACACTATTGCAGCGTCTACTCAACGCTGTGAACACTGAGCTACGATAGTAACCTGCTTCTCTGTCATGATGATCCCTGGCTCGCTTGGACAAGTGGAGTCGTCTCAACTCAAACCCCATTCAATTTGCTTGAAACAACCTTCGCCCGAAGGCTCGTCAACCACGAACAGTGAACAACACCACCTAAAGTCATATTCGAGAACTTATGATATGCTCTATTGCCCTCGACAATTCCCAGTCATGCAAATCTCGGGTGAATTGTCGGGGTTCTCGTGTCGGAAGGGCGCAGGATCGTCCGGCCGCCCGTTGACCGGTCACGCGAGCTGAGATGTCGATCACAGGCACAGCCGACGCATCCCACGGGAACCTGAAGAAGCTTAACCGGTGATTTTATATCCTCTGCCAACGGCGACTGGTGCAAAATCCAGTGTTGCTTTACCGCCAAATAGGCAAGTGCCGACAACTCCTTCACGATACGACGTAGCAATGCATGGTTGCGGGGGCTAGGTGCAACCTTCGGCCTGATGTGCCATTAAGTTCGGACGACCATCGTTCCCACCCCGGTTCAAAATGACCCTGTTCAGTTCGTGTTTACCCTGAGGCTTTTGGCTAGAAACCCCATTTGAGGATGAAAGTGCCCTCCAATATCCCTAAGTCGTTCGCCGTGAGAGCCGTCTAAGTTTAGCGGCCCTCGGATCGTCATGTCATGGAGGGCCCCTGCGTCGGAGTGTTTCGCCTCTTTCCAAAAGCGATGTTTCCAGTCCCTGGCAGTGGGTGGAAAAATTGACGGTGTGGAGGTGAGTTCATCTATCTCGAGGGTTTGGCGGGGCTTTGACAGGGAACGTGAAGCCGAGCTAGCAATAGAGATCAGCCGACTGCCATCAACTTGAAGCTTGGTTGAAGACGTATTTGACCAAGCCCGTTTCCCGCCCGTTCGTCTGGTCTCTTAGTCGAAGGAGCTTCATCGCCCATCTCAAGCGCGAACAAGTCTTCAGTCTCTCTTTGAAAAAAATGGTCTGGTTCAACCAAGCCGCCCTCTTCCTGGGCAGCGCGCTGCTGGTGGCAGATGTGCTCCCCGTCGGGGCCGTCCGTACCATAATACCTAAGACGAGCTTCGACTCCCAATCCAACTTCGACGCCGACTGGAACTACCTCTACCCCTGGGGCACCGACCACAACGGCGGCGCTCGCATGACAAAGGACAACGTCAAATTCAGCGGCGGCACGTTGACCATTACAGCCAACAAGGTCAGCGGGCAGCCTCAGGCGACGCACGGCGGGCAAAAGATCAACATCAACTACCTAAGCGGAGCGATCCATGCAAAGGAGCACTTCAACGTCTCGCGCGGGGGCGGGTACGACTTCAGCGCCGAGATCAAGGCGACGACGACAAAGGGCACGTGGCCCGCCTTCTGGCTGACGGCCGTCCAGGGGTGGCCGCCAGAAATCGACATGGCGGAGTGGAAGGGCAGCGGCAAGGTCAGCTTCAACACGTTCAACACGAGCTCCATCGTCGCCGCGAAGGACGTGACGTACCCCAGCCCGGGCAACTTCCACTCGTTCAAGTGCGAGACGAGGGACTTGAACGGCAAGGACGTGCAGGCCAAGTTCTACATGGATGGCAACCTCATCACGACGCAGGTGGGCGCCGGGTATTTTGGGAAGCCTATGTACTTGTGAGTAAAAGCTTGGCTTCTAAGCGTGAAGTTTAACAGATTGCTGACACGAGCGGTAAACAGGATCATCAACTTGCAAATGGAGGGTTCCTCCGGTTCGCCCGGCCCAACGAGCAGTAAGCTTTCCTTGCCAATTTATTCGCGAACTCAAATGGCTGACAACCCCACCACAGACACGGAATACCAAGTCCGAAACCTCGAGGTACTGAGTTACAATCCTTGAAATGACGGCATGAATGATTCGAGCGAAGCGGCATAGTTTATGAGCACATTTTGCGCTCTACCTTTCCTGTATCTATTTCCATACCTAGGAGCACACTCCACGTACATATCTCTGCCATGGCAAATACCACGGATGGCACTGTCAAATGCAGTATTGAGTGACGTGAAGTTATATACCCGCCTGTTGTAATAGCTGGGGCTTGCTTGATTGTACATGTATCTACGGCTGTTAGATCGTGGATTTCAGTCCCATGAGTGAATATTTGGCTTGCTTAGCTACGATGCTTGGCAATTTTCTCTGCTGCGATGAGCAAAAGATCCCGGTGATGGTGTACATGCCTTAAGTCTTGCAACTTGAATCGGTCAAGGCCATGTAACTAAAATCTCTAATACTTGTCACTTCCGTGGGTGAGAGGCCGTCCGTCAGCGGCCAGGAGCATCGCTTGCTGATGTAATTTGTCCTGTGCTCAAGATATCAGGATATTGACATATTGACGAGTGGAGTAGGAGTAGGGAGAGGATAGCCGGTTGTGGATTGGCCACCCTCCTAGTGATTCTGCTTTCGTCGACGACTTTCCAGTGTACTTGCAGAGGTCTTACGTCCTTTGAACGTAAACTTCTGTTTGAGTCACGTCTTTCATACGCTTGCTCAAATATCTATGTTGCATGGCTGAGGGATTGGTCAACTAAGTACATATTAATATGGATGTGGTTTCTACCTCGTCATTTCCCCTATCGCGCATTCAGCTGTTAGACTTGTGGGGATACTTACCTGCGAGAGCGTCTCCTCTGAATGTCAAAACAAGTCAACAGCAACTCTAGGTTTCTGCGTTTTTACTACCTGAGATGGCCGGCCTTGGCTTAGTTATATTTGCATTCTGATACGTTGGGGATTGCGCTGCATGGCGAACTTGAGGATTCTTTGAACCATGATTCTTAATAATGATCACTTAATGCTTTGAAAGATTTACTGTCAAACCAAGGACCCTTTGATTAAGCTGCGACAAAGGCAATCCGTGATCTGCTCCTTAATACCGAAGCCTTCCACCCTTCAGTACCGCTAATAAGGGCCCCATCAATAGACGCAAGATAAGCAGAATCCAGGCTTCTTTGTGCCATTCAATGATCTATGTGATTACCTCTTCATTGTGAAAGCTTTTGGATTTTCAAACATTCGAAGATTTCTCCGTCAAATCCTAAGAAGCTCTTTCCTGGCCAGCAAGGTAAGGTACCTTCCTCACTTCATGCAAAGGAAGGAAGCGCTGAAAGACGCAATGGCAGGAGCGAGTGGTCTATGCAGCGCCGGGCTTACGTAAGTGACCTCCTCCGCCATTACGTAGTGAGGCTAGTCACGTGGTACCGTGTTGGTCTCGTGTCTGGTCCGCTCGCGTCCTCGACCCCTGCCACCTTTTCCCTCCCCCACCATCTTTGATTGCCTGACTGTCGCGTCATTCACATTGCTGTTCACCAAGTCAAAGCCGGTTCGACAATGGATGGTCACGATGCCGCGGTCCAAAACCCTTCAAGCGGCAGAGAAGAAGGCTATCGAGGGCAATAACGAATCGCAAGATAGCCAAGCCATTTTCGACCGATATGTGGCAGAATACGGGATCGGCGTGGTACGTACGGCCATGTTTGCTTTTTCTAGGGTGGCGTTTCCCCCAGTGGAGGCGTATTTTCTGCCTGCCCTGAGTATGTCTGGTGGCTCTGCTGCTGGGCAATGGATTGGATTGGACTGGATTGATGGCGACAATTTAGCACTGCTACGACACAGGCCTTGCTGCGACTTTGCGCTAACTATTTCGGGCACCACCATAGACAAGCAGCTCGCCCCCAAGAGCATCGTCCACCGCGTCGCGACACACTTCGAGAGGCAATAAACGACATCGCGACAGTCTTCTTTCGCGCCATTCCGATCCGTTAAGCCAAAGCGAAAGTCAGCGCACTGCCCAATCTTTCCCCAGCACTGCTCCTCTGGTAGCGAGTACAAAAAACGCGGTTTGTCACACCCCCCACCGACTGGACAAGGATGTCTCACATGGGGCTGGGATGGCACTGACCAGAATAGCTACCCCAGCACGACCTCGACCACGAAACTCCGTCACCCGCGTTGCCTGTTGTCGCTACCGCTGCGGATGCTGCAGACCCAGATTGCGGCCCAGACTCCGACACAATTCCTGCGAGCCTGGCCTCGACAAGACTCAACATTCGAGACCACTCGAATTGTCTTGCAGCAGACCCAAACCCTCATGTCGACTACGACGCGATAAATCCGATACCTGAAGAGGTCCCCGCATCATGCACTACCGACAAAACCGCGAGGAAAGTCAATGCCCTCCCTAACGCTTCGGGCCCCGCGCTCTACACGAAAGTCAAGATGGACGTCTCGCAGCAATCCCCGACGCAAGATAACAACGATCGGGACTACGAGAACTACTACGAAGGCCCTTCATTTGTCGAGACGAGTCCTATTTCGCAGGACCACAGCGCCGAGCAGCCAGCGATACACGAGGAGGATTCCGCCGTTGTCGACTTCGGCAATCTCGACCATCTGATTCAAGGCGACACCCAGGGCGATACTCAGGGCGACGAAGAGCCTTCATCTTTCCCTGACCATGCCGCCCCTGTACACACCCGTGGAGCTTGGCGGAATCGCACTTCCAGTTCTCAACAACAATCCTCTGTTCAGCGTACCGACGGCCAGTCCCCTTTGCTGCCGACCGTCCCTCCGCCACAGACCCCAGCGCAACGTCATAACCCTTTTGCTGGAAAGAAGCTAGGTGACCCTGCCTT